AGCAGCTTAAGGCACCTCCAGAATTTCTTCCTTGCGCTTGTCAGGTTAGTCATGCTTCTCAATCCCTGGTTAGAATAAACCAGAAGAATACTATAACAAGTTAATGAGGAAACAGTGCTCATTAATGCTACTTACTGCAGTCCTTGGGCAGACAAATCTCCAGCTAAAATGTTTTATTTATGCATTTTAATATTTAATATGTACTTATTTGATTAATATACTTGGGTTTACATTATTTAATATTTGTATTACTTATAGGTTAGACTGTGAGTATATTTATTTCATAATACATTGCAGCACTAATTGAACTGAGTGAAACAGCATAATGCATCAGTCTGTTTTTTCTATACCACATGTTTTTGAAAGCTAGATTCAGTATCTATATTCAGCAATGCATTTTACTGGTTACACTATGCAAAAGAGCTGTTTCTTCTCCAGTGAAAACAGCACAAATGTTTCAGATGGGTAAGCAGTTTGCCAATGGGCTTGTAAGGTGAAAGCAATTGAAATTAATTTCTCAAGAGAAAAAGAAGTGCCTTGGGAAAAAAAAAAATTAAAAAATAAAAAAATCAGGCACCATTTATTAGTTCCAGTAATTATTATTATGCTCCAAAAGCTTGCTTTCAATACATAACTCACAAAAAGATTTGTACAAAAAGATTTGTGGAGACGTGCACTTCTTTTGAATGTCAGAGAGGTTTCCGGTGTTTTTGCATTGATTCTCTTTAGCAAAGAGCAGTGTTCCAGGAACTCTAGAAATGCACAGCCCTTATTTTTCATTGCTTAGAGGGTTTTAGACCTTCTCTCCTTGAACATCAATACTAATTCTAATTAATTATTTCAAACAATATTCTTATTCCTTGAACTTCTCTTCCCTTGATACTGGCATAAGGAAGAAGCTTGAATGTTCTAAAAGTTGTGTCCAGTCCCTGAAGTCAGGCAAACTAACATCTGCTTGGAGTAGTTTTGGCATCAGAAAGTCCAGAAGACAAGACAGGGGGAAAAAAGCAGGGAAGGTCATGGCATAATATGGAAAGGGTCGAGGTAGACAGGAAGGGACGCAGAAATCCTTCTGCCTGTCAAGGTTAAAGGTTGACTTATATCTGTATAGTCTCTGAAAAGGAGAGTTTTAGGGGATTTTCAGGATTTTGGAATGAGTGGATTCTTTCTGACATAACAGCCTATGTCTTGGTCTAGGTCCCACCTCCTCCCCCAACCCTCCCACAGTCTTTATGTATTATCTGATTACTCATTCAAATCAATGGAAAGATTCCATTTTGCTCTGATGAAGCCTAGAAAAACACCATTCCTGTGCTCACACAGAATATATTTTTTCTTTGCTCCTATTCCTCTGTCTGCTTTGGGTTATTTGCTCTCCTGTCTCCCTTCTGTTCTTTGGTTCTGATGGTGGCAATTTCTTTAAGGAACTAGACATCAGTACCCTCAATTACTTTTACATCTTTAGTTTCATTACCCTAAGAAAACACAGGAGCTGCTGTTAAAAAAAAAAAAACAAAAAAAAACAAACAAAAAAAAAAAACCACAACAACAAACCAAAGCAACTTGCATTTTATTCCAGATATCATTATCTCCAAGACATAGACTAAAATTTCTGTCCAATCTGGCATTACTGGATAAATCTGGTATTATTTTGTTATACCAAAATCTTAAATTTCTTTTTAAAGGATTGAGAATAAAACATGAATACTGTAACTTTAAGAATTTTTATGAATCAGCTGAGCTGTGGACATTGATTGTAGAGTCACTTTTAGCCCTTTGCAAATGCTAGAAAAGCATGTCACTTAACTGAATTTTAAGCTAACACATTTTTCTTTGCATTTCTGGCAGTCCAAGAGCTAGCACATGGTCAATTACACTGGTACCATATAGTAAATCCTTCAGCCACAGCTCAAGTGTTTCTTCGAGCCCTGAAACTGGCCTTCTGAACAAAGTTGACTGAACAGTACAAAACACAGATGACTTGATAAATTTAGGTATTATACTGCAAAATCTTGAAGATTTTCAAATGGTTTGTAAGAAGTAATGGTGCCTAAGACATGAAACAAGTTTGATGTCCCAAGCATAGCCCAAACCTAATTTAAATGATAAATTTAGATGATTCACATATAAGTAATTTGGGATTTCATCTAGTATCAGTTACTCTCTATGGCAGATTTAAGAGAGGGAAATTACTTTTGGAAAATGCCCCCTTCTTAATTCACTTTTTAATTATTTTGATTATGCTTATTAAATGCCTAACTACTGTGACAAACAAAAAAATTCAGACATTCCATGAGGCACATGAATTACTATAAGACTGTGAAAGCAACGTACAGAAAATTGTATTCTTCTGTAGTTACACTGAGCTAGAATCATAAGAAGTCATGAGGGATGGAAAAGCTGTTGTTAGATTATCCATTGCAGTGCAATCAAATCATGATGTCTCATACTCCTAGGGATGTAAGAAGATGAAATGTTTGAAGCCTTCTGGGATATGTTTGGTGCTGCATCAGGCCTAAAGAATTCACCAGGGACTACCAGTTGTGTGCTAGGAAACTCATTTAAATGAGTTTCTTATTCCTGTCTAACTCCTTTTGTTCTGGATCTCTGCCATGCCCTTCCATTTTTTTCTTGAATGCATTGCTAAGATGTAGTGCAAGAGATACCTTCATTCATAGATGTGCAAGATTGTGACGAAAAGACTCGGGGTTGACTCTCGTCGTGCTGTCAGTTTGACAGAAGAGCCTCTTTCCACCTCCCTCTGGCTCATCCATTGTGAAAACGAAAATCAGCAACTCCACAAGCACTTTGGAAAATGTTGCCTGTATTCCAGTTTCCTTTTCTGTAAAAGGAGAACAGCGCCTTCAACATCTCATGGGACTGTAAGAACTAATGCAGTAATCTCTGTCAGGTGCATTGGGAACCCTTCATGGGAAGCACAGACTAAGTTCAACACATGGACCATTATTACTCCCCTGATAATGTTTGGTATTATACTGGGTTAAGTACCATTAATTACGGTGCTACTTATGTGGCTGAATCCCAATGCACTGTTATAATTTACTATCTTGTCTATATATAGCTGTACTTTTAATTGGATAATCAAAATTATGTTATTTCAGAGAAAGTTATATTTCCTTTTTGTAACTACATTTATGCAGGGTATTATAACCTAAATAGTACAACAGACTGAGTAATCAACAGTAATAAGTCTTTATTCTAATGTGAAAATCACCAAGAATTACATAAAAGAAACTGGCATAAAAACAAAATAGAAGCAGAAAAGGATATATGCACACACACATCAGTTCCACACATCAGTCTGGAGGTGACATTTACACCCTTAAATCCATCTTTGACTTTATTGTGGCAGGATTGTGCCTAGGATGAAAAAAATATTTTATTGTTTATTAGTTTAATGTTACATTCATTTTAAAACATTATGTGGAGCTCTGAGGAAATTAGGATGTAATAAAATTATCTAAGCATCTTCCACTATAGAAAATTTAAAGCATTTAGGTTATGAGATTGCTGATGCTAAAGACTTGCAACAAATTGCATTCTGTACTGAAGGTATCATGACAGAACACTTACTAATTAAATAAAATTAGAGACATATGGGTATTAATCTGTTTCATGACCATATCCAGGCATTGAGTTTTCACCAGCAATGGGAATATGATTTAGGGGAGTTTTGTCACATATTTAGAAACCCCTCAAAGTTCTGTTGGCTATTATGTTATCTCTACAGGTTGGTCTCTAGTGTCCAGTTATGTTGTTATATATAATGAGTACATATTCTCTGGCTTCCATTCTGGTTGAGGCCTTCAACTTCCTTGTATCAGGCACCTGTGCAAGATTATTTAGATTCTCTAGAGCAAATTTGCAGACAGACTGTGCTAAGTGGGTTGTATAAACACTTAGGCATCTGTCTGATCCTCTAAAGGACCATCTTGCATCCTATATCTTTGTTGCTTTTGAAATGTTGCTTAAATAAGCTGAAATTGAAGAGGGAAAGTGAATGCAAAAATCAAATTGAAGCATTTTGGGGTTTTTTAATTTTCTGTTTGTAGCATTTGACAGCTGCAAGAAATTGCATGAGAGGAAAAAAAATGACTTGAGTATCAAAATCTTTGCTTACAAGCTACTTTTATTTAGTAATCATGCTTGTTTAATAACCACAACTTGGAGCACATGATCCATAGGAATAAATAATTGTGTATATCAAAACCTGTAGCTTGTACCTAATGATATTTGTTTTATCAGGAATAACACAGAGTTGTTAAATAAATATTTTCTAATTTGGACATAAAAAGGGAAAACTGTTTAACAGAGAAGACTTTACATGTATGGGAATAGCAATAATACTTCTGGACTAAGGATAACATTTTCAAACATTATCAAATGCTTATTCATAAACAGTTTAGTGATACAAAAATGAAGCTTCATTTCAACATCATATTCTTTTTCTCTTTACTGTTTATTATTCATGTTTATGAACGGTGAATTTGCGATCCTGAAACTGAGATTAATTTAAGAAAATTAAGTTAATTTTGTGATATGGAAATGGCTCCATGGAGAAAGGATACATTTAGGTTAAGATATCCAACCGAGAAATCACAGAACAGAAACTAGGCACATGAAACTCAACTGACTAGACACGATACTTGACATATGAATTCAAAATATCAAATAATAAACTAAATATTTGAATGTATGCATTAAATCTATTTGAGTAAATTTGCATAATGAATAGCTTCATAAAATTTAGAACTGCTAGCAGACAGTTTTGCAAACAAGAAGGAGACTGCATTCACCCCATAATTTGGTCATAGTGAGCGATTTTAACCAGTTTTAAAATGGTGAATGAAATTCCATGAACGGTGAGAGTTTCCATCAAACTCATAGAGAAAAAATGTTTAGTTTTGCGATATACTTGGATTTTGCAAATTAATATTTTAATCAGACACATAACATAGGTTTATGTGTTCTCCTGACAGACCAGCAGTACTCATGGTCGCCTTCTCAGCACTTCAATGAAGAAAGATACTCTCCTGCTCCGAGGAATATGAAAGGATTATCTGGTAGTCGCAACCAACCACAGTTATGTTCAGCTCATACTTGTGGCTTAGCATCCCCTGAAGATTGTGAACACACCCACGACCATATCCACCATGGGCAGGAGCCAAGGCAATCATATCTTCTCAGCCCCACAGAGAGTTGCCCGATGGACCACCATCGTTGCTCGCCACGCAGCTCCATTCATTCTGAATGCATGATGATGCCCATGGTAATGGGCGATCACATGTCAAGTAGCACTTTCCCCAGAATGCACTACAGCTCACATTACGACTCAAGAGACGACTGCGCCATGTCTCACGGTAACCCTAAGATTAACCGTATTCCTGCAAATCTTTTGGACCAATTTGAGAAACAACTTCCTCTTCACCGGGATGGGTTTCACACTTTACAGTACCAGAGGACCTCAACAGCTGCGGAACAACGCAGTGAGAGCCCAGGAAGAATACGCCATCTTGTTCATTCAGTCCAGAAACTTTTTACTAAATCTCATTCTCTGGAAGGATCATCCAAGGGCAATGTTAATGGAACAAAGGGAGACAGTCGAGGGGATGACCATCATCATGGCCACCATTCCAAGCATAGCAAAAGGAGTAAAAGTAAGGAGCGAAAACCAGAAAGCAAGCATAAATCTGGAATGAGCAGCTGGTGGAGCTCTGATGATAATTTGGACAGTGATAGCACTTACCGAACCCCTAGTGTGGTAAATAGGCACCATGCAGATCATATATCCCACTGCTATCCTGAGGCGCTCCAGGGGCATTTTGGGGATCTCTCATTGAAGACTTCCAAAAGTAACAATGATGTGAAGTGTTCGGCTTGTGAAGGGCTAGCAATGACCCCTGATGGTAAATATATGAAAAGGAGTTCTTGGTCCACACTTACAGTAAGTCAGGCTAAAGAAGCTTATCGCAAATCATCACTGAACTTAGATAAGCCTCTGGTTCATCAGGAAATCAAACCTTCCTTGAGGCCGTGCCATTACCTTCAGGTAAGAGGAAGATTTTCTTAAGATTTGTAATGAAAGAAACATCAGTTTGTGACACAGTCATCATAAAAATACAAGGGTAATCGGTATATCTCAAAGAATATCTGTATGGCTCACCTAAAGCAGATATTCCATGAACATGAGAAAACTCTAGTTTTTTTCTTTGTTTATGGGGCACAGATTAAAAACTATAAAACTAGTGTGATATAAATTAGTTTAAAGTCAGTGGATGTGTTTTCATCTTTGGAGTTCACACTGAACATCTTGATAAAATGCATATATCAGACTGAAAAAGGGGCAGTTCTGCCAGCAGCCTGGGGTCTAGAAAAAATGTTTAAACACATCTGTGAATGACTGATTTTAAAAACAAGCTGCGTGGAATCCTATTTTTGTGTTCTTTTATTCCTTTTCTCTGTGTTTTTGTAAGTAATAGGGGAATGGATTTACTGGTGTACTCAATTGCTTTGTCTTGATGGTGATTACTCACAAACTCCCTTTTAGTGATTGGGTCACCAGAGATCGTATTGAACTGAGTCTCTTTTGAGACCATACTATAAGCTATCCTTATTGAAAGTTACATGGGTCCCTCAGGGAGATAAATATTTCAGGCCTGGCATTCAGACTATTTGTGATGGCGTTCTGCACACTTGTTTTCTCTAGCAGCAACCAAGAAGCTCCCACTTTTTCCTACATTTTAATTCTTATACCTGCTGCTTGCTGCCATTTGCCACCCCATAGTCATGCTACAGTAGCCTTTTATGATACTGCATGATGATCTGGATCTTAAAGTGATATGGGTTTAAAAAATAGCTTCCAACATACATTTTTAAGACATTTACATAATTTACATGGTCTAGCTCCAACACAGTCCCATGACAAGTGACATTAGCACATCAGGATGTACAGAGAACTACACTGGGAGCAGAGCAGAAAGGAGGGAGTGGTGGAGAGGATAACTTTTTCAGCTAGCTTTGCCACAGAAAAAAACATAGTATACAAATATTCCCTTGGGTATTTTTGCCATGTACAGCCTTCAAAGCCTGCATTGTTCTGAGTACCTTCTCTTTTATTTCTTTTCAAGGAACTTCTCTTTCTCCAGAACTTAACTGATTCTCACATTAACATGGGCAAATCTCCACTCCAGATTTATGTATCTTGAGATTTTTAGTTCCTGTGGGATCTGTAGAAACCCGCAAACACAGGCTAACCACAACCATTGTACTTCTGTGCAGAGCTCTCTCCCGTCTGAGCAACAGAGGTGCAAAACTAATGAGTCACACTTGAAGAGACAGATCTTTTCAAACAAATACACAGACATCCAGGTTCAGGCTTACCCTCTGAAATAGGGAAAGTTCCTCATTGCACAGAAAAGAAAATAAAGAAATTGCAACCCTCATAGCACTACTGTGCAAACGGATTCCAATTTAGACTGGCAGGTGTGATATTTTATCATATCCAAGTAGGGTTCTCATGTATGTAAAATAGCCTGCACTTTCCTGGAATTTTTTAATCTATCTCAATGAGCCAGAACTGGAAGTGCATCTTGTGCAGAGAGTTCCACTTGTGTGTTCTAAAACCATGTGTACATCTCCAATATTACAGAGATGTTTAAGTATCGTTAGCTTTATTCTTACTGTGACATACTCCTACTTCTACACAGATGGCTCTGGTTCCTCTACATCTCTGCTGGGGTTTGTGCTTTCCTTCTCATCATGTTTCATTGTTTCTTCTTCTTTACATCTCATTTTTCTTTGCAGAAGCCACCAGTTTTTACTTTTTCCTGGGCCTTCTCCTTACTCCTAACTTATATCAGCATCCTCAAGTGAATGTGAAACACTGAGTTCACAGACTAAGTTGATTATCACGAAGCTTTAGATCAAGCCCCATGGCAAGTGTAGGAAACAAGAAAGCACATTTTTTGCAGTCATTGTTTTATGCTTTTTGTGAATTGAGATGGCTACAGAAAGGAATTTTCACCCAGTAATTAGGTAGGTTCATCAACTGGCAGGTTTATCCAGCTTAAAAACTAGGAGATGGGAATTTAAGTTTTTGCTGCACCAGAGACTTTCTCTGCGATCTTTGTTTTTAAGCCCCTTTAAAAATGGGATAATAGCCCTAGGGATCCTATAATGGAAATTTGTTAAGAGTCTAGTGCTCTGTTACTACCATAAAGAATCTACAGTTGTGTCCAAGGCATTAATACCAGGGATTCTATAACAGGAATATTCTCATTACAAAATATTAAAATAAAATATATGTTCTATAGAATCTGAATATGCCATTCAGAGCATAGATACCCTTCAGACTGAGTAGCTGGTTTATTCACTAGCCCAAGGTCAGCAAACAAATTGAAGGGACCCTATTCTGTCAATGTTATAACTAAATGTTTAGTTTTTAAATTTCTGCTTTGAGGGATGCTGTGCTATCACACTGTAATCATTAAGACCAGAGATATAAGTCCCACTATTAGCTCTGCCATGAACTTTCTCTCTGACCCAGGAAATGTAATTTGTTAATCACTCTACACTTCAATTAATCTATCTGCAAAACTGAGAAAGGATATTTTACTTTTCCTATGGCAGTGTAAGAAGCATCACTAAATAATGATTGGGTAAAAATAAACATTAGGTTCAGAAACAGAAAGGTGGAGAAGCATGTCAGGATCCCTAGCCCGGAGAGTTTACTGCCTTGCTCCAGAATATCTGGCAATGATAATTCAAGGGATTCTGAAGTTGATTATGCAGCAGCAGATTTCCCTGAAGTGCACAACTGCACAGATTAGTGAAAAACCCCAGGCCCTTCACAGGATCTCTGTGTTTATAGCATTACAACACGTGATATTGAAAAACATTTCTCCTGAGTGATGTCAGCTATGTATTTTTTAATTAATTTTAAAGCAAAGCTGTGAAATTATAGTCATTCAGTGATCTTATATATGAATATATAAACATACCTCAGAATAAGATAAATTCATTTTCTATGTTTATATATTAATATTATAAATTTGTAATATATATGTGGCTTTTATTCTGCTACCTATTTATATGATGATTCACTGTACCCAGCTCACGTTTTCTATCTACTGGTCTCCTCCTTGTTATTTTTTCTTTCAACACTTGTATAAAATATTGCTACTTCTGTTTTCCACTGTAGAGTTTTGGTATACAGGGTCCAAACTGGAAGATGATGGCAGTGTCTTAAGCCTGTGCTCGAGACCATGTTTTGGGGCTTCAATTTTGTGTTCCACAGTAATTACTGAGCTACTTTTTCCTTAAAACTGAAACTCTGAAGAGTGAACAAAGGAAATTTCTTTCTAAGAAGGGAACTTTTACCAAATTCACAGATACCTGAAAACAGGAGATGAGAAAGGAGGTTTTGAAGGCATCTGCACATTATTTACTTAAGTCATGTCCTAGAGTTGAAAGCAGGTATTTCTTTAAGCTGGTAAATCTCCAAGCTTAGTCTCTGGCTCCTCTCTTAGAGTATCACATTCCCTGCTCCTCCACAAACAGTCCTTGAAGCTGGGGAATATCCTTGGACAGAGTGTGCCGTTGTTAGATTGATTCGGTCAATGTGCCCTCTTCCAGCATGGGTGGTCATCTAGCCATAAAGTGGACACTTTCAGAGAACAAAATTAGTAGAAATAAAGCTGTATAAAATAGTGGTTATTTTTCCCATCTAAAGCTCAGATCAGATTTGCATCACTCCTGATACAGTGGAGATTGTGTGTAATTGCAGAGAGAAGAGGGAGAGGGCAAGGGTGGAAAGCCCCTTTGGCTTCAGCTCATTGTTAAATCAGCTTAGCTGTAAAGTTAAACAGATGGATAGCCAGCACCACAAGAGCAGAGAGCGGCCATTTACAAATGTAAACTAATAGCATTTATCAGATTCTTGTGAATGATTAGCAACAGTTTTTATGTATGGGTCTTTAATTTCTGTTTTGAATGCAGATAAATTGAGCTACAAATGCCTTCCTGGGCACCAAACACTTCTATCATCTCACTCAGCAGGCAGAATAGCCTAAGTACATCACACATGCAGTAAAGTGCATTTTTATATAGTTTTAGCTATAGCAGCTGCTACTGTTTTCCATGTCATTTTAATTTTAATATAAAATATGTTAAGAAAAAGATAAATGGGTTGTGAAATCTCTTCTGTCTTCATCAGCTGTTTTGGCTAATTAGGTTCAACATGTATACAGTGCAATGACTTTGATTAATTTCACTCTGATATGTGTACTAGTGAGGGGCAAAGATTTTCAACAGGAAAAACGGATACAAACTAAATAGCTGTGCTAAAATGATGAATACAAAAGTGTTGCTTACAGTTCCACCACTGAAATACCTGTGAATGCTAGTTAAAGAGAATTCCTACAATAAAGCCAAAAGACAGGCAAGAGCATAGCACTCACCATAACTGAAGTTCTGGAGCACAGTGCTACGTGTCACTGATTAGTATTCCTCCCGCAGCCATTGAACAGCCTGCAAAGCAGCAAGCAATCAAGGTAAACATACCACAAGGTACAGTGAATGAGTCAGCACGAAAAAAGAAAATAGCATGTTGTTCTAAAAATGGTTTCAGCCCACTCCTGTCTTCCTAGTGCATTTAAGTACTAGCGTCATCCGTTACAGCAGTGGCACTGCTAAGCATGTGGGTAATAATGTCAGCTGTGTACACTACAGAATGAAAGAAAAGCACAAGAGTTGATCTCTCAAAAGAGAAAAAGAAAAAAGCAGCAATTTCAACAAGGCTGCTGGTTTAAGTTATGCCTACATGGAGAAGAGATTTGAGGACAAGCTAATGCATAAACAGGCATTAGGCCCTCAGTTACATTTTTCCAGGAACTCTTCTTGGGGATGGGACAGATTCCCACAAATGACACTGTTGCCCTTGAGAGGCACTCTTCTGGTTTGCGAGGATGGATGGATTTGAACTCAGTGCACCTTTCTCACCCCTTCATCTTTGTGAAACTAGATTGTATCTGTTTGCTTGACATAAAACCC